CTACATTTATTTTTTATTGTTGTACCAATCATACAATATAATTTAATATTATTTTAATTAGTTAATATTTTTTCCAACGGTACTGCCAAGATTAATGTAAATTATTGTGTAAATCGTGTATGTAATACAAGCCACTATGCGTTTATATTAAATAAACATTTGAATTTAATTACTTATGAGTTATATGATAAATCTGTTAGGCTGTACACAAAACTACGTTTCCAATTCGTTAAATTTCTAAAAAACATATATTCTTAATATTTTTCCACGCCTAATATAATATATTTCTTATAAGTATAACATTAACATMAAGTAATTTACAATTTTGCATCCCAAAAAATACATTTTCTTTTAGGTATCTATCGATGGCCGTTGAACATCACATCTTCATTTATATCCATTTTCATATTAGATGATTTTTTTTAAAAATAATTACAAATACAAATGACATACATTGAAAATCATTTATGATCACTTTAGTTCTTATTGTTTGCAAAATTATATTTGGTACGCATTGATTTATGAAATAATGTAGTTAAAACTATTAATTATCCCACTTAATTCAAGTTTCTACTTGCTTCATAGTTAGAAAAGCGACAACAAATAATACACCTGTATACATTTATAATAACAGAGATATAATATTGTCGAAAATTGATTGTAATATTAAATTATGTCTCGCATAGAGTTTACCGATTCATCGTCATCTGAATTGTGTTTCCAAATAATCAGTGGTAACTCAAAGTATGTCTGTGTTACTGCATTACCCGCCAATCGTTCTTACGAAATACGATCATCTGGYCCCGAATACACTAATGTAATTCTCGAAGAAATTTTGTTCAGGTATATAAAAGTTTATCATAGTTATAACATTATTAATGACTGAGGTTTAATTTGAATACATGTCACTAAAACATTAAATGCAATTATTTTTTAGGCATAGAGAATATTACAAAACTAAGAAATGCGTAGTGCGCTGTGATAAGAATGAAATTCCCATTGCAGATTTATATCGGACGATTGAGGAACATGTAGAACTCAAAGGAAGACTCGATATTATACAGGCAAATTATATAATAATATTATCTGACATTCACTAAAATGAAACCTTAACAAGATTGTTCGTGGTTTTTTTGTTTTTGTTTTGAACATAATATAATATTATCATACAATTTTAAGTATTAATTATACGAGTTATAATCAATATATTAGTGTAGACATCAATTTCAGTTAACAAGTTTAATGAGTTGATACATTTTGTTGTTCATATTTTTCAATCAAACCCTGATAGGTATACCTATATTATAATTTTGTAGGTATTTTTTTTTTTATTTATCTTAATCATCGAAAATTTAGAMCATTAGAATTTTGTTTGGTTAGTGGGAGGTTATGGATGGTTTAGGAATATGTGAGATAGGGGGTAAGGATTTTTTCACTAAAGTTGAACGATGCTTGACTGCAGCCACTCACCGGTACTAAGTAAACCATCAAACAAAACCATTATTTTTTATTGATCCCTAAAATTTTTTCAAAACATGCACATTCCTTATATATGTTACGGGCAAAGTATACAATTTGGTAATGTTATACAATGCCCGGGATTTTATATAATACCCGGGCGTTATATAAAATGCCCTTCATATATTGGGCAATATGGATAATACTATTTAATTGTAAAGTATAAAGCATTTTATTCATTATCTTTTGACAATAAATGAGTATAGTATAATAATAAG